GGCTTTTTTGATCTCTTCCAATGAGAAAGGTCGAGTCAAGTCCTCATTGTCATCAGGAGTAATCATCTCATCCTGAGACCACAATGTTGCATATATCTGACAAATACTGCCAGGAGCTGGACCAAACAAGGTTTTATAGTATTCAATAGCATGGGCAAGTAGGTTTTTAGTGCCTTCAATAATAGTGGACCCACACTCCAGGGAGATCATGGAGTTTTTCCTACGACGGCCATTAGCTACTTTATGGAAAAAGTCAGTGTTATTGTCTCCTTTCAACAACCACCTCTCATTAGAAAATTGATGCCAGTGAAGTTCTTCTTCAACATACATATTATTAAGCTCTACTTGATTTTCCAACTTCCTAGTATATGCCTCCCCGCTTAAACCATCAGCCTCCTCCAGATTTTCAAGCTCCTGCAGTTCGAGCTTGATGATATTCTTCCTGATCTTATTATGACCAAACAAATTGGACCCCCAACCCTTAAAAAATTTCTTAATTCTCTTAAGCTTAATATTCAAGGAGTCAATGGGGTTTATAGTGTAAACTGGCCTAGACCAAATATCAGCAACCAGAGGAAGGAAGTCTGGGTTACTGAGCCAGGCATTATCGAACTTAAAACACCTATTACCTGGTGCTCTAGAGGAAGCTCTCCCACCATCCACCAACAAGGGATTGTGATCTGATATCTCCTTGACCAGTTTATGCACAGAAACGAGAGGGTATAAATCCTCCCAATCAGGGGACATGAGAACTCTATCCAATTTTTCCAAAGTTGGGTTATCTTGTTTATTGGACCAGGTATAGCAACCACCAGTCATATAGATCTCTCTCAACCCAAGCAAATGAATAACAGAATTAAACACCTCCGAGAAGTGGGACATAGATGTTTTTTTGTTTTTCTCCCCGCTATGTCGAATGATGTTAAAGTCTCCCCCGACCAGATAAGGGATATTAATGTTATGACACATGGATGACAGTTCAGCAATGAACTCGGGTTTCTACTCATCATGTGCAGCACCATATACAGTCATCAAGGCCCAGCTAGAGTTTTTGTTCTTATCGAACAAGTTCAACTGTAGGATGTATTTACCACACTTGGTCATAAGGATATCAAATTTTTCCTTATTTAGACCACAAAGAATGCCACCAGATTTCCCCCTAGAAGGAATCCACTCCCAATGAAACTTTTGGTTCGGATCAATTTGTCTAAAAAAGGCAGGATTATAAGACTTCTTCATAGTCTCCTGAAGTCCAATAAAATCTAAATCATTGGCATTAATCATGTCAATGAGGCAGGTGGACATGCCTTTTTTACCTACCCCTACAATTCCAAAAAACCCCTTTCATTTATATCGTTCGGGTTTATCTCTCACTCTGGTAGGTCTGCCAGGTTCCATAGCAGCCCTACCCACCCCATTTTTCTGTTGACTTCTAGTCACAGGTCTACTGGATTTATTAGGAGATAAAACCACCAGCGATTTCCTGCGCTGATATTCTTTTTTTGTTTTTAGATTGAACCAGGATAAATGGTTCCTCAATATCTCTACTATCCTCATCCCATTCTAAAGATAGGAGTACATCATTACCCAACCCATCATTGACAGTATTTTTTTGTGCATTAGTATCAATTTTTTTGTTACGCAACAAATTTCTAGAGAGTTCTAATTCACGCAAGATATCAACAGTTGCAAAGTCATCATCAGGGATTTGCACTCCCATCAAGGATGCACGCAATATAATGGCAGAATCAGATAAAGCAGAGAATTGATTTTTTGAATTGGGCATATTCATACCTTCCAGATTGCGCTTCCTCATTCTGCGTGGGGCCTCCTCTTCTTGACTCATGTTGTCATGAATTGGACATCCAGAGGGAGATTCAACTGTATACACACTACAGTTTTCTCCTCCTTCCAGGGATCCCTCCTCAAGTGGCATAATATGAGGCAGGGAAGGCCAAACCACATAGTCTGACAAGGGAGGAAATGCATTCCCATAAGTATTCATATCATGACAGACAAACATAGGTGAGGGAGGAACAGGAGTAATCATTCCCCAAGCACCTTTATGCACACTGATCTCAGTAATGGGAGATTCAGTCATCTCTTCCACACCCAGATCCTCAGAGACATTTTCACACGATATTTTATCAGATTGAGAGCCACAATAAGACATTTTTTCGACTGCATGTTCTCTGGCCATAGTCTCAATCAGCAGCTCCGTGTTGTTACCTTCATCACTTTCCTCTTCTTCGAACTACCGCAGAAAGCCTCTACATGCCCTTATCATAATTCTGGGAGGAGAAATTACCAGCCATGGATACACTCGTCTCTCCCTGCCCCATGGAAGAAGCAGGATATGAGTCCATCGTTGCTTTCTTGGGGAAGGAAGGAGATGCACTGCTATCCACAGCAGTATAAGATTGACTTTTCTCAGCACCCATAGTCACAACTTTTTCAACTTCATAAAAGAAATCATAATACTGTTCTCCCAGCATCCCTTCAGCTGAAGGAGGAATTTTCTCAACATCTCTACAGCCAAGAAGGATTCTAGCATATTCAGGTTTATGCACAGTCGATTCATCAACTTCTAATGTAATTCCCACCAGGGCCCCAGCATAAGCTATATGTTCAGTGCATCTTTTCTCTATTAGAATGTTGCGTACCCTAACCCATGCTTTTTCCATGATGCCTTTAGCTCCAATCGAGGCAGTCCAAGGAGTAATACAGACAACAATATTCCCCTCTTTCAGAGGTAAGCGTTTCCCATAACAACATGCCCTTTCTACTTCACTAGCATTAGGGAATCGCATCACTTCGGGCCGTACAGCGCCATTTCTTTTTCCCAGGTTTTTTGGCAAATATAGCATTAAATTCCTGCTCAATATCTTTCACAGTAGCTTCGCCCTCAACTATAGTAATCACCACATTATTAGTTTTCTCAACACTATGCTTAGCGGCACACAGATCAGGTATATAGAAGAATCCCTGACCAGGCGATTGGAACCCACACATGAACGGAATGCATTCCCAAGGCCTCAGAACTTGACAAAGCTGGGCCATATGACCTAATTTGTTGCATTTTTCGCAGCGAATAGTAGGGCAACGAGGAGCGAAATGACCTGAAAGGGAGCAGTTGATGCAGATCTAGGCATTGTTCTTGGTCGTCGTTTGCCCAGGTGATGGAGGTGGAGGCCGCTCCAGGGTGCCCGCCATCTTCTCCTTGGTCGCGCCGCTCATGGCACGCGCAACAGCTTCCCATCTGTCCCCAACTTCACCACCACCAGATCTCGAGTCTCCCGACGTCGTTGGCGGCGGATCTGGCCGCTGCCACACCATGTGTCGAGACTGGTTAGGCAGCGGAGCCTTGCGCCTACCGCCGAACCCTCCCCGTGCTGTGTTGTCGCGCCATCCTCCAGATTTGCCCCCGCCACAATCTCCCATCGCGGCGCGCGTCCCACCCCCCGCCCGCTCCGCCGCAGCAACTTGGGCGAAGGAGCGGTCGTCGCCGCCGGCCTTGCCCCGCCACCAGCCGAAGGAATCAGAAGGGGATGGATCGGGGAAACAAACCCTAGAACGCTCCCAGATATGCTTGAAGAGAGGAGCGAGATGCGCGTCTCGCGTGATGGGGGTAGGTGGGGAAAATGGAGCGGCTCTCCGCGCCTCCCCCGCTCTAGAAGGCTCCACGCCCGGATCGGTGCTGGGTCCTACATGGCAGTCAGGTGGCCATGGAGAGGCTCCCACGCGTCCAGCCGCCATTAGCGGGTGGTTGGTGTAGCATGGGGCCACCCCAACCCGGTCCGCGCCCGCCTGGATCTCCGTACGCCTCCCGCGCGCCGCACCTCGAGACGTGCCATGCGCCGTGCCCGCTGGGGGCGTGCACGTTGCTGGAAATCGCTCCCGAATCCTCACCAAATGGCATGGCAGCGAGATGATATCGCCAATGATTATGGACTCCCCTGCGCGGAGAAATCGCGCATCCACCGTAACTCCGCGATCATCGATCAGGATGATGCGGAGAGCATCACGCCGGAGAATCAGCTCGCCGTCATAGAACGTGAGCGAGCGCGTCTGCAGATCGGCGGCGTAGGATACGTGCCATCTCTCGTCTGGCGCGTCGCCCTGCGTGTCGCGTGAGCACGACGTGTGCTCCATCTGTAGACCTCGATCAGACATTACATTTGTCTATTTGCCTACGTTTTATGTAACAAATGTATTTCAGTACTATTTTGTGAGACCTTAGGAGTTGTGCATCCAGTGAAGCATGTGAATTGAAGGCGGGTCATAATATATCTAGACCATCAGACCACCTTCTTCTCTTTTAAGGAAGGCTTGTTGTGGCAGCCTGCATAAAATGGGTATAAGAAATGGAAATGCTAATGGCCAGTATCTAGTCGTATCTAACCAGCAGAGGGAAGCAACACAAGAACCAAAAATTACTCGCAGCATTCTTACAAGATGGGGAACCGTACGCTGATCTCGGTGTTGGTGTTGACGGCCTCACAACGTCAGAGATGGTCATTTCATCAAATACCATCGGGGCACCAGAGCTGCACTGCCTTCCCACAGCATCCTGCCTTACTGGAGACAGGGGAGGTGACACACAGTACAAATGGTCAATGAAAAATCGAGTAGATAAAAAAAAACTCTTTCCAAGAGGTTTAGGTTACTGAAAAACTTCCTATGTAATACAATACAAATGATTCTTTGGATAAGATTCCTATGGGATACAATCCTACAAATCAAACATCTTACACACACAAAGTACAGTTCATAAATACATGACTTCCTAGAAGGCTTGCATTCAATATTAACTTTGACTACAAATATATCCAAAATTATTTAGATTGGTGTCGTTACAACTTTAAAAAAATAACATTCCATGATTAAAAATATGTATTGAAGACCATGTCAATATTTGAATTATCTCTTTATAAACTGAGCTGATACTTGAGATTCCAACTCTACAAAATCCCCATAGAAATCGTCTGAATCAAAAGGCCTTACAAAGGCACTGCTGCACGCTTCCTCCCAGACAGGGGAGTACTCTGTTGCGCCACACCTGGAGCACCATTTCCACTTGTAGCGAAATGAACATACGAGGTGTAAGGTGGCAATCTTGATTCCCAAGTAACCACATTGAAATCCCCTTGTGGTCTAACTCCAGGACCCGTCAACAGATCCCCAAACCTCACCCTCGGTAGCAATTCCCTTTCCACTGTAACTTCAGTGTGGCTGCTGCCACTGGTACAGGAAGCCACGACCCGGAGTGGAGAATCCATGGGATGCGAGACCAAGTCAGTAACGTCTACCTGGTGACGTCTCCGGGCGAGGAGCTTCGGGTGCTCCCCAAACAGGGATAAGTTCCTCTCGACTACCCTTCTCAGCCCGCTCAGGATGCAGAGCCAAAAATGGACGCTGAGGTTCCTCCTCATGATGTCCGCAAACGGATTTGCAGTGCCGATTGACCATTCGGGTTGGAATTCCCTGACCAGCTCGTCTGCTATCCACGCTAACCGTGGGTGCTGTGCCGGGTTCGCACTCCCGAATGCTAGTGTCTTGAATAGGTAGCTGAACTCCTCGTATGACAGGGTTTTGAGGAAGATTGGCTCAACGGTTCCGAGTCGCTCTGAATTTTTAAGGTGGCTGATGATGATCACCTTGCTTCCATTATCCATGCTTGTTGCTACGGCTAAACAGAACTTGGCCCAATCCTCCTCGTCAACATCTGAAACAAGCTCAACAACCACCAGTATCTTGCCTGGCAAGAGGCTACGATCATGGTCTGTCAGGCTACTAAAGGAATCACCATTCAGGTGCAGGATCAAAGAGAAGTGTGAGCGGACCCTCTCGTCCTTGCATACATGGGCGACCAGAGTCCTCTTCCCGACCATTGGACCACCGATGATGGGAAGGATAGCCGGCGCACCGCCACCAGGAGAGTTGTGCCACAACATGAAGTTCAGGAGCTTTTGCTTCTCGGCGTGACGTCCGAACATGATGTTGTCGTTGTATAGATACGCATCGTATGGTCGACGCAGCATACGGTCGCATCCACCCAAAAGAACAACAAACTCCGTCATGCCAGCGACTACATCCTCCAAGCTCTCCAACGCACCCTGCAAGTCGACGGGGTATGTGGCCTTGTTCTTTCTAGCACTTCCATGAACCATGCGAAAACGTTTGGGAGCAGATGGATTGCAAACCTCCCCCTCCTCCTCAATGGACTCTTCGAGTGAAATGTACCTGGACGCACCTAGTGCCCAGTAGCCTCGGTACATGGCGTCCGCAAGCATACTGAGCTGCACCAGCATCCCGGAGTTGGTGATGTACCGCCCGTCTGCCTCCTCGATGACCGTGTGAGCTCTCAGGAGCAGCTGCTGCAGCCTCTTCAGCTGCTTCTCTTCCGAGTATTCATGGCTCGAGTGGTACTTGTTGGCAAGGAAGGAGATGAATCGGCT